TTATATGAATATAATTAAAATTAGAATTTTAGCAAATACAAAAGTTAATGAAATGTGTTAATTAAAAGTTGTGAATTCCATGCAATACGTGATTAAAGTTAATTCTTAACTCCGATAAAAATCTAAATTATAATTTCTATCAAACGTACGCTTAAAGCGTCAAATTCTCATTTTCAAGAAAACGAGGAGGAGGTTTCACACCAAATCAGTAAACCGTGGGAATGGATGGTTGGTTGTACGGTACGTACTTACAATACGACTTTGACATTCATTAATTAGATTCTCAATCTCAATAGTCTTCAAAGGAAAGAGAATTATTTGACAGTTTAAAACTGTGCATTCATTATTCCCACCGACTCTCTTCCGTCGAGTGTTCATATTTTACACCCACTTGTAAGTCGACTTGCTTATGTTCCCATTAATTTATTTAACACTTTAATAATATTGTATTGCAATATTTAACTTAATAATTGTGTACTAAAAATGAGATTAAGCCCCCGTTTGATTCCCTTTTTTACCCATAAAAATGAAAAATACGATTATTATCTATCACATCAAGCACAATATTTGACTTTCTATATTTTGTGTGAGTTCTATAACGATTATATTTTTCATTTTCGTTCTTACAAAAATGAGTACTAAACGGGACCTAAGATTTAAGATTGACTTCTAATCAAATCGTTTTTGTGTGGTCATTTTTAATTCCAATTAATTGCTTCAAATGGTATAGCAAAATCTTGAAAGATGTAAATCAAAACCCACAACCACAGCATAACGGAAGCCAAGCATAAAGGCCCCTTACGTCTCAATGAATTGGGCCTCAAGGTATTCATTTCAAAGGGGGCAAATTACCCAAATATGAGGAAAATAAGGGGTGAGTTGGCAATTATTAATTTTTATTGATGCCCTATTTGGTAGCCATTTTTTTCAAAATGTATTTTTCTCTCTTCTTTTCAACTACACATTCTTTATTAAAATAATATTACACGTAAATTAAAAAAAATTCTTATTTTTCAACCACACATTTCACATCAATTTACTATTCTAAAATGTATTTTTACATAAAAATGAATATCAAACACCCCCTGAATATTACAGAATTACAATATTGATTGGCGTTTAAGGAGAAATACGGCAACTACGGTACATGTACCCTCTATGTAATTTTTTGTGGTGAATTTTGTGCAACAAAGCATATAATAAGTTATAGTGATTTAATATTTGTATTCGTATAATTTTCTTAAAAATAATCTTGTCTTAAACATGCCACCAACTGCTTAAATCAAAATGAGAATGTAAGTACGTAGGAACATATATATGGACATAATACGGAAGTGAACTTGTACGGCAGTGCATGCATAAAGGCTTGAAAATCTTTTATTAGCTGAATCTTAATGACAGGACCTACCCTATTCTTGAACCCTTTGTCGAACTTGACTTCCTAGAACTCAATAGTTGCACGTACTTGTTCAACACTATACTTCGATTTTGCCGTTCAAAAGGAACATCAACTATCTATACATCGTTGAATGGAAATAAGGGATTGCGATCATTGATAATTTTGATCAATTGATTGTTCTCGAATGTGTCCATTCAACGATGTAATAAAATTATATAATTTCATAAAAGAATCAATTAAAATTATGAATCATGTCTTGTCAAAATTATCAGCATAAGCCTTCCTTGTAAGCTAATCCTCAAGCCAGCCTTAGTCAAATTAATAGGGGGTTCAATTTTATAATCTTCAACTAGTTGGATTAATGGATTGGACGATCCAAAATAATGACCAAATGCATAAGTCGTTACAAGAAG